ATAATGATAGCAAACAAGAGAAAAAGGGAACACAACAGAGAAGGGATCCCAGCAAGGCAGAGGTTAGAAGAAGAAGTGGGGGTAGGAAGATTTGGTGGGGGAAGAAAGAAAAGGGAAAGGCGGAGAAAAGCCTCCAAGTTTTAAAATTGGATGGGAGAAGAGGAATTTTTTTTAGGGACAAAGGATGAAATATAAACTTTTGTAAGAAAGATTCTGCTAGGTACAGAAGATGGTATTGTAACATTTATATTTGAAATAGTAAATTAGAATGGTTTAAGATTTAATAAGAAATTAAAATGTTGAAGTCTTTAATAATGATTGATTTTTAAAATGTAATAAAATATTGAAGGAAAGGAGGATACAATGTATTTAAACATTTTTGGTGGATAGAATGTACCAAGCAGAACCGAATTGGGTATTTGTTATGTTGAATGTTAATTTTACTAACTTAGGGGGAGGATAGAAAGGCATCATACTCTGATTAGTGATTTCAGGAGAAATTCTTTTTATTATAAGAAGAGATAGAGGGATAATCAATGGGCAAAAGATATAAATATAATGATTTAATTAAGATGGATTAAATAAGATAGAATTGTGAAGAGTGATATGCGCTGCCCATGCAAAGAGAGGTAACTGGGGCCAAGGTACTTTACTAAAAGATTTTTTTTATGTTTGTTTGTGTTTGTTTGTGTTTTATGAGAATATTGGGGAAATTTCTGTAGAAAGACAGGAAAAGATTTAAATATGTAATGATTTGTTTGTTGTTGAAATTTTTAATAAAACTTGTTTTTTTTTTTTTTAAAAAAAAAGACTGGCTTGGCTTGGGGGTTTTGACACCTTGCTAAGCCACTGATGGTACTTGAATATCGGAGCAATGGGATCGGAACACGTCAGAATCCTTCTCACTGAATACATTGGCCAGGTCTTTGTATGCCCAGAGAATCGATGGAGTTAACTCCTCCCCCGCTTGTGGTGCCCCTGTGCCTTCCACTTTTTCTTAATTATGTATTTGTAGTGGCTTCCACCACTTTCACTACAGTCTCTCAGCCCAAAGTGCTTCTTTTGCACTTTTAATTGGTTTCATTCCCAATCTATAGAGGGGTTCCACTTTTTTAGCCAAGCTAGTAATCATGGCAAACTTGGGTTTACAACATTTTATCTCTTTTTTATTTGCGCGAGTCCCCCAACTGTAATACTAAATTTCAATATGCTATGGTTTTGATTTACAAAATACATAACTGTACTACAAGATCTAAAATACAGGTAGTCTTCAACTTATAATTGGTAAGAAGTTATAACAGATCCCCTGAAAGCTACATATGACTCGGTTTTGAATTTATAGTCATTGAAGCGCCCCTATGGTCATTTGCCTTTATGACCAACTGCAGGACACTGCAGTCATCCCCCCCCCGCCACTTATTTTTCTGCCATCCCATTCCACAGGGTCTCCACAAGCCTCTCTAGAGCTCTGGACCTCCATCCTTGTCCACACATCACAGTTCTTCTCTTTCAATTCGAACAATCCATAGTCATCAAATTGTTGGCCTCTCTAAATTAAAATAAGAACTAGAAAAATTGAATAAGCGTTAAAGAATTTAACCATGATCTACCACAGCTTATGGAATTTTATCAGTCATCTCAATGATTCAGAAAAGTTCCTTTCTATATTAGCTTTGAATAATGTGAGAAAAGTACATAACTGTCCCTTGAATATCTTACAATATATAAAAACAAAAGCTCCAGCTTCTTAGAGGTTCCCATAGTTTTTCAGTTCACAGTGCCTTTGATGTCTTAAAGATATGTTGTAAATCAATAATGAAAAACCCAGTTTCACAAACGAACACTGCAAAATTTTAAAATATTCTGTGACACCTCTGTGAGTTAGCTAAGCAGAATTTGGGAACCATGAATCTAGCCTAATCTTTTCTTCCATTAATAACTCAACATGCTCACCACTTGGATGTGAATTTGCAATTTCATCAAATGATATAAATGCCCTATTCAATACCTCTAAATAAATGAACACAGCAGTTTTTGATACCTATGTGGAAAGATTTGTCATTGCCCTGACAGTCTCCCATCAAAAGACTAACCAGGTCCAACCCAATTTTAATTGTCCTTACTGGTGAAGAGAGAACTCATTATACAGGTATTATCTTTTTTCAGCTGTTTCTGTTTTCATTGACTAAACATTAACTATCACGTAAGGAAATATTCCTGAATCACTCACTAGAAAGCAGTTAAATTTTGACAGCACAGTCTATTGTCAAAATTCTCTCTAGTTTATATAAGCATTTTGTACAGCTGAACAAAAACAGACAAATGTTCAGCTGATATTAGGGCTTTTTTAATAGATTCAGAGGTATTCTGAAAAATTACTAAATCTGTGTTCAAAGTACTGTAGTTGAACAATATGGTAGTATAGTTTCTTTCAATCGCAGGCTTTAGCAAGATTTGAGTGCTTATACCAAAGCCACTGAATAATGTGTCACTGAGCCAATTCAATTTCTTACAGTTCGTCATACAGGGCCCCTCCCCTGCCACCTTCATTGTTGTTTGAGATGTAGTGGACGTTTGAGATGGTTCTCAGTCCCTGAACAGTAACTTCTGAATTTATAGGATATCTGTATCCTAACATCAAGGACAATTTAAAACCACAGTTTTCAGTTTACAAACAATTCCAGGTTTCACTTGAATATATTCCAAGGATTACTAAGGCTTTATTGTATGCTGCCCAGAGTAGCTTCTGGTGAGATGGGAAGAATTTTTGTATAAAAAAAAATAGATAAATTAAAAAATAAAATTACTGTAGAACTTTAGGGAAAAGTTTGACTAAGTATTCAACCAAAGTCTCGTTGTGACTTTTTTATATAAATGAACTTTTCTAAGCACTGGCATACATTTCACGTACAATAATTCTAGCATGGACGAAAAATCAGTAGAAGTCGTTTCCTACGGTTTGTAGTTGCTTTCCGACGCGGGACTAACCTGCTACAAATATAGATTAGTTGCCCCCTTCGGGTAAGGAACAATAACAAGACAAGACTTCTGCTGCGACCTGAAGTCCCCGCCTCGCTGGGGATATCCCGTCTACCCGCCCTCGGCTTTTCTCCACTACGTCAGGCTCAGGCAGGGGCAATCCCTGCTGTCTCCACTTTACCCCCTTCCATCTGTCACACGGGGAATCCCGCCCAGATGTCTCTTTACACAACGAGTACTAGTTGTAAAGATCAAGGTTTGGCTTTTCCTTTCATTCAGGCAAGCTAGAAAAGTTTGGCACCAATGGGCATATACCGCTATAAATATCTTCCGCTCACGCTATATTTGGTTTGTCCGGGCGTGTTGCTTTTCAGAAATAGTTCCATCCGGCGCGAAATAGCAAGCTTTAGAGTACCACGCTCCCGCAGCTCCCGCCCAGCCTAATCTAAACCAACCATTCAATTCCTTTCAGAGGCCGCGCCTTGCGCGCGTCCATCACCTGTTTAAAAAAAAAGTCCACGGGGACTAAATTTAGTAACACCGTGTGCGTCAATCACGCGCTTTCCTTGCGTCAAGCTTTTTTTAAATCTCCGCCCCACTTGTAATAATATCCAGGACGTCCCGTGTTTGGATTGGTTAGAGTGTCACGAGGGCCGACGTTCCACAGTGACGTCCTTGTTCCGATTGGTTCTGAAAGGGGGCTCCTTAATGTAGAAGAAAATAAAAGCGACGGAGGGGGGCGGGGAGACGCCGATTTAGCGGCATGGTGTATGTTGCAAAGCATGAAAAGGCTTCTGCATGCTTATTTTAAAAGCTTTCATCAATCATTTGTACAGTAGTACAGTATAAATACCCGAGCGAACATGCATCTTGGCCTAACTTAAGATAACTTTGGTAATAAGTCTCACTCATAAATTCAATGAGGCATACCCCGATGTAATTGTAGGTGACTGAAAGTTTTCCCACATATAAATACATACCTCGTTCAGATATTATCAGTTCAGATATTATCTTATAATGTTCAAGAATAGTTTACTGACGAGGGCAAGCTACATTGCCCTTCTGCCCTGTGAAAAGGTACGCGTAAATTCAGTATGGTTTTCTTCGTGGGACAACCCTATAGTTCATTTCTGAAATAACAAGTTTCTTTGCTCCACGGCAATGATTTGGCAATTTGAAATCCATACATCTACGCAAATTCGAAAATGCTCTTTTGCCTACAAGAATATGCAAGAAAAACAACTTCATGCTGTCCACTCTTTCAATCACTTTATCACATTATCATAATCCCAATTGTAAAGTCGGCTATCCTCCAGCCAAGATGCGTTCTCTATAAATTTACTTCTATCTGAATGAAGGACAAGAATTCCACGTTTCCTTTGTAGAAAGCTAAGTAAGGCAAGATCAAATAAAATATACTGCTGGGTAGACACGGTACTTCTATGATTCTGAATCTAATATATGTGCAAGAAAGGTCACAATGGGTGAGGGTGTTGTCCAAACAGTAAATTAGGTCCGTAGAATTCCTGATGGCGGATTCCTTCCCGGACGCCCATCTATTAATCCTTCTTTGCAATTGTATTTGTACTTCAGCTAGAAGCTGCGTTACATTATGAAATTGAAGTGAGGATTGCAAACTCCAAGCTGCACCTCAGAACAACAGCGTTCCTCCAAAGTTGAAAGGTCATCTTTTTCTTTTGGCTTTCCATCCTACAACGGCACGGAGTGGTTGTTTTCCAAGCATGAGGTTTTGTTGTGGTATTCCTAGATTTCGTTCGCAATCCAAAATGCAAGGGTTGCGCGGGTCTGCTTGCTCTCGCTCGCGCTCTCTCTCGTGCTCTCACAGACAGACAGACAGACACACACACACACACACACACAAGTGAGGCAGGCAGAAGGCGGAGGTCAGCAGTGTCAGGCTCCCATGGCGTCATTACTGACGCTCGCATTCCAGCCGCTGTATGAGAGGCCGCTAGGGTTCCTCTGGCATAAATGACGTGCGGCGAAGAGAGAAAGGGGGAGCGGGCGTGCGCTCCGAAGCTTCCTTCCTCCCTCGCTACTTTCCTCGCTCCCTCCCTCCAGCTCTCTCTTAGAAACTACGGGGACGGCTTTGAGCCCTCCGGAGCTAGCTGGTGTATATAAACAAAGACACATTGCGCCGGCTTGGGCTTTCCTTAAAGTCCCAAGCTCTTACCGCAGCAACGAGCAAGGGACGCGGCTATTCTCTACTACTTCTAACCCCCTTCCCTCTTTTTTTCATTTCTCTTTCCTTCCCTTCAATGCCTCAGGAAAACTCATTCTCCAGGGCTGCAGCTTCCTCGAAGCCTTGCGCTTTTTTTCTCAGCAACGTCTCGAGACAGCGCTCGCTTGCTGTCGTTTTGAGGGAATAAAGCGTTTGGCAAACTACATGTAAAGACGGAACCACCACAGAAACCGAGTAGGTATACTATGAATGGGATGCTGGAGGGGAGGGGCGATACTTGAATAAAGTTTGGATACTTTCGATCAAGGCAAATCTGGGCGTGGAACCAGAGCCTCTGCCTTTGCGCAGCAGTGCTTGGTAAAAGAGTAGAAGAGTCAGAACCAAGCTCAGAAGTTGGAGAGACAGTCTTGAGGTATGAGATTTCGGTAAGCTTCGGCAGAGTGGGGGAGGAGTGCTCTTTCGCTCGCTCTCGGCCGGCGTCGCTTTTCTTCTCAGCGGCTTGCAGTTGTCATGGGAATGATGCTAGCGGGGTTGCCCCAGCCGCCGTGATGAATGGCAGCAATTTGTCCTCGTCCTGAGCTACCGGAGATCAGCGTCCTTTCAGAGAAATATGTGCTTTTGGCCCTTTGCTGAGAGTTTTTGTGGCGATGGGATGGCTTCGGCCAAAGGGTGAGACAGGTTTAGGGAGAGAGACTGACAAAAGACAATAGGGCAGTCTGGAGAAGAAAGCAATGCTTGTTGAAGGAGTTGGCCGTGGAAGTTGCTGGATGTTTTATTTTGTTATGTTTTGCTCGTGGAAGGGGACGAACGAAGTCAACGGATTTATTCCTGCTCCATCCTTGTCCCTTCTCAGCTGCTAGCGCACCAGGAGCTCGCGCGTGTAAAAAAAAAAGGGGGGGGGGGTTGAGGAGCCATGAGGGCGCCGCCGACATTATTCCAAACTTTTCTGATAACACCAAGCTGTGAAAGTGGATGCATTCCAACCCCTTTTTTGATAGCTGGGCTGGAAAATGACATTTGACTAAGCGAAGCATGTGGCGCGGTTTCCCTATGTTGATCCTCAATGCCTCTTTCTAGCTGGCTGAGTCCTAGAAGCCGAGCGAAATATCTGGAGATGCAGAAAATATCTGCTTCGTTCTTAAATACAGTTTAAAAAACGAAGTAACCCTTACTATTTGGAAGATTGTTTGAACACTAGTATTGCTTCTTCTGCAGGCGTATAGCTAGAGAGATGTGCTGTTCTAAAGGGAAATCATTTGAGAGGAAAGAGGAAACAATCTCAGAACACCTGTTTTGATATCACTTCTGAACCTTGAAAGTTATTTTGGAATAAGTATCCATGACCATTACCAAAAATGAGTCTCTGCCCAGTCATGATTTAAAGTGTTGTACCTCTCCTTAAAATTAAACTATGAAAGTGCAGGAGAATTGTAACTATTGTTTTTAGCTGTATGTTGACATGATATAGTAAATTGCAGGGCTTCTAATTATATTATCCATGGTCTTAATACCACTTTTAAAAGAGAGAGAACAGTAATTTGGTGGTTTTTCTTTTGTATGATGTCTCCTACATTCCATACTTTTAAAAATCTTAACCAGATCCTCTCTTTTTCTGTTAGCATGATAAACTGACAGAAAACACATTGGATTAATTAGTTCCTAAGGATTATACATTTTTTCTAAGGGAATTAACAAAAATAGAAAAAAAAACTAGTTTGGCAGTGCAAAGAAATCACAAAGATTGTGATGAGTAGTGTTTTGCTATCTGTGCCAAATACAAACATTCTGGAATTGTAAGCTAATGGAACAGATGGTACAATGGAACTATTTTAGGGAAAGCACTTAAGGATGAGGAGTCTTTCTTCTTTGATGATGAATATAATTAAAATTATTAAGAGATACAATCCCCATTTGATTCACAATTATGGGAAGGATGTGTGGATGGGATTCAGGGCATATCTCAAGGCACCTTCAATAGGATAGAACTTGAGAAGGGGGTCATTCAACATTTCAGGTGCAATTTCTATGCAACAGAGGTTGCAGGAGTGAAATGATTTGCCAACAGCATTTGTGATTTATATATGGAAGAAGAATATCAAATATAGTCACCTGTCCTTACTCTTCACTATTGAAGCATGAGATCATCAATGATTAATGCAGGGAAGTAATGAGAAATTCTCAGAATGATCCATTTTTCTCTCTGTTTCCTTTTGGTGTAGTGAAAATTATGCATGAAAATGTGAAGATCCAGTTTTCAGAAGCAAAAAGCTGCTGCCCACTATGAACCTACTGAAGCAATTCTTTTCTTGTTACTATTGTGAGAAAAACTATGGGCAAGTTAACCAGTCTGTCCTGTCCAGTGTTGACTTTGAGCTGATCTTATTAGTTGCTCAACTCAATAGGATTTAGGGCCAAACTATATGTCCAGACAGATTGAGGTACAAGCATCAGTATTAGTCTGAGCAGCTCACTATGTATTTGGAACTAAGTGCCTTTACCAGGTTTTTGGTCCTGAAAGTCAGCTTAATTATACAGTTAAACACTTTTATTTATGGGGGAGGAAAATGGAAAGAGATGTGTGAATTCATCAAGCAGTGACTAGAGGATATTTCCCTTGTGATCTAAGGATACTTGTTTTGGCTGCTTCAGATTAATCCCAGGATTTCATGTAGGTAAAGTTGTCAAATTTCTAGGGACACGCATTTGAAGACCCTACTTTTAAATGTATATTTGAATTTGGGCTTTCATCCGATTCAGAGATTAAGGGAAAGTTAATTTTTTTCAGCAGTTGTTTGCGATGTCTATTTGTTTAGGACTTGGGAATCCAAACTGTTCAGGAGCTTTGGAGATTATGTGTAAATGACTTCTAAGGAGTAGGAACCAACTCTCTGTCTGTCTGTCTGTCTGTGTCTCTCTGTGTCTCTCTGTCTTTCTCTCTGAGTGTATCTCCCTCTCTCTCTCTCCCTCTTGCTCTTTCTCTCTGTCTCTGTCTCTGTCTCTGTCTCTGTCTCTGTCTCTCTCTCAGAACCCAGGTTGGAAAAACCCTCTCTCGTGAGCCCTGGCTCCAGACACAACACTGTTGAGGAGGGATCACCACCACCGCCACCACCACCTACGCTTGCTCCAACAGCAGGAACAGCCTCAGCCACCATCCTATCAGTTACACCCACCATTCAGCAAGCAAGCCACTCTCCAGGTAAAAAGCATTGTTTGCATTTACCCCTAGTCGGGCAGTTGCTTTCTTCCTTCCCATTAATGGGAAGGTCTTACAAAGCTGAATTCATAAATGAACTAATTGCTTAGGAAAGGCAATTTTTAAAAGTGTTATTTTTCTCTGAAACATTTTCTATAATATTCAATACAATTTTGGAGAAGATATTATCTTCCTTTAGATCAAAAGTAAGTTTTTCCTTGGAAACAATTTCTCAACCAGTGTCAGATTATAATATTAATTTTTTGTTAAACCATACTGTTATATAATTAACATTAGAAATGCTATAAAAAATACAATTTTAAATATCAAACATTATTTTTGAATAGACAAATTTGAAATAATGCTTTTTTGCAATTTTAGTTAAAATGTGGTAATATTAAGCAGTTTCTATATGAATGTTTTTATTTCATATTTTAATTATTTTATTAAAAATAGAAGTTAATATGTAAGCATATTTGTTTTTCAAAATAAATGGACTAGTCTAAAATATTTTGGCTAAAATGTCCTGTTATATTTCATAAATATGCAATATATCTATTTTCCCTTTTCTTTGCAAGTTCTATATAACCCCATAACAGTTAAAATTGAACAACTACCATTGCATTTTTAGAGTAGATGTTTAATTCTCCTTTATTGCAAAATTCTTAATTCCATTTCTTTAAGAAATAAGGAAAAAATAAATAAAAAACCATATTTTATTTTGAGGGATATAATTCCTGCTGGGATGTTGTTCTGATTAAAGTTTTATTTATTATAATAGAAAATCCCTGTCAATAAAATATTTTTAAAATAGCACATAGATCCAAGCAACAACTTTGGAAAATGCAGAAATTTCTGATCTTTATTTGAGGTATATTTTTACCCCTTTCCTTTCTTTTTAATATCACCCTCCCTTCATAATATATAAAGTAAATGAAACTATTCAAGAAGCTACAATTTATTTCAGTTTCAGTGAGTTTTCTTTTAATATTGAAAAAAAACCAAATCCAGATATTTCCATTGTTGAACTGAAATTTGTTGGGTCTATCCTTCTGAAACCAGATATATTTGATATCTTTTTCTTTGTACTTCAGTGTTAACACAAAGGTTGCTATGAATGTGTTCTTCCTACATAGAACACTTTTAAGCATGCATACATGTTAACTATGGATCTCTTTCACTACACACATTTCACTGTTAGATTATAATGCAGCATTATTGTGCTATTGCTACTACAACTTTATTTTCTTAATATCCCTGCTTTGCCTTTTCATAAAGTAACAATACATAGAGAGCACATAGGAATCTCCCTTGATTTTTATCTCCAAAATAACAGTGTAAATAAACTGAATTGAGATTAACTGAACCAAAGTTTCCATGGGCTGAGAATAGAGTGGAACCTCATTCTCTCAGTCCTAATTCAATATCTTTACTATTGCATAGTATGTCAAATTTGCATGGCTAATTGTTGATAACTTCCCTGGAGAATTAAAGTGATACTGTGTGCTTTCCTGACCAAGAAATATTTTTCCAGGTACAAAACTTGTCATAATTCCTGTGAGAGCAGTGTAAATATCTTTAATGGAACACTATTTTTACTTTTGCAGATATGCCCTGTATGCAAGCCCAATACAGCCCTTCAGCCCCTTGCTCAAGTTATGCCGCTCAAACTTCCTATGGTTCAGAGTACAGTCCTGAGATCATGAACCCTGACTATGGAAAGCTGACAATGGAATTAAGTAGTGCTGAGATCAGTGCCACTGCTACCACCTCTCTGCCCAGTTTCAGTACCTTTATGGAAGGTTATTCTGGGGGCTATGAACTGAAGCCCTCCTGCCTATACCAAATGCAATCTGTCTCCTCTTCTTCATCACCTTCCTCTGCAAGCCAGAGACCCCTCATCAAGATGGAAGACAATCGGATGCACAGTTATCACCCTTCACTTTCTCTAACAGTGGATGAAGGCATGGCCAGCACCTCCATGTACTTCAAGCAGTCCCCACCCTCTACACCTTCTACCCCTGGGTTCACACCCCAACAGACCTGGGATGAATCACCCTCACATTCTCTTTCACCAGCACAGACTTGCATGGCCCCCTGCCACCTGGTAGACACTGCCCCTATGAAAACCGTGCCTGGCCGCTTTCCACTTTTCCACTTCAAGCATTCACCACCCCCTACACCTATTGCAGGTGGCCACATGTGCTATGATGCCCCTGCCTTGAGCCTACCTATTGGATCAGATAGGCCTAGTGCTAGTCAAGCAGCTATGGAAAATCATCCCTATGGGCACCCGATGTCCAAGAGAGCAGCCACTTTAGCTTTTGCACCATTGGGCCTCAATACAGCCACTTCCAACCTTCTAGGTGAGAGCAGCAGTAGCAGCAGTGGCCTTCCCTCTCCATCTAGCAGAAGTTCTTCATCAGGAGAAGGAACTTGTGCTGTGTGTGGGGACAATGCTGCTTGCCAGCATTATGGTGTTCGGACTTGTGAGGGATGCAAAGGCTTCTTCAAGGTAAGAATTGCTGGAGGCTTTCAAGACTGGACAGCCATCTGTTGGAAATGGTATAGTGTTTCCTGCTTGCGCAGGGATTTGGACTAGATGACTTACAAGGTCCCTTCCAATTCTGTTTTTCTATTCTATTCTATTCTATTCTATTCTATTCTATTCTATTCTATTCTATTCTATTCTATTCTATTCTATTCTATTCTATTCTATTCTATTCCATTCCATTCCATTCCATTCCTTTCCTTTCCTTTCCTTTCCTTTCCTTTCCACTCCACTCCACTCCACTCCACTCCACTCCACTCCACTCCACTCCACTCCACTCCATTCCATTCCATTCTATTCTATTCTATTCTATTCTATTCTATTCTATTCTATTCTATTCTATTCTATTCTATTCTACATATGCCAATATCTGATCTTATAGCTTAGTAGAGAGAGGGACAGCATATACGTTTAATAAATACATAAGCTTGTATGCAGAAATAAATAAGATTAATTTTTGAATAAATGTGTGGTTTCTCTGCACATTTCAGTCAACCTATCAAATATACCACCAGTTCTCGAGAGATAACAGTTTGTTTAAGATATATCAGTCCATATTGTGTCTACAGCTCTGCAGACCCCATGGACACTATTGGACATATATGACCTTGTAATTCATCAGTATTCTTTCATTGCTTGTAGCTATTCATATTCATGCATTTAGTACTGTCAGTATTCATTATATTTTAAACAGGAATAGCCCTCCCCTATCTAATTACTGGTAGTAAAGGGACACAAGAAAGAAGAAAGAAAATTTTCAGGGAAGATTATGTTATTTAAAATTCTGTCATTTTGTTTCCTTTTTTTAAATTTACATCAGTCAACATGTATACTATTATTATCGTCATCCATATTCATTTTTTTATAACCTGTATTTACTGACTTTCTCCAAGAAATGTGCAGTGACATAGATTGTTTTGGTATTAAAATGTAATAGTTTAACTATCTTTACAAGATTATGATTAAAAGAGATATTTACAAAGTTGCTTAGGATCCCAGAGCAGCCACATCATATGATAACTCAAACCTGATTATATCATTTAGAAATAAGTATAATTGAATGAATGAAGTTTATTCACAAGAAAGCATATGAAGAATTGTATCCAAAGAAACTTACAAATGTAAAGCAAGAAGCAAATGTTGCTTCTTAATAAATAACTTGGTGCTGCTTTTTTCTGACCTTCGAAATAGGAAACTAAAGCTAAAAAAAAATCTACAATAAGTCTTGAATTTTAAAAAATACTGAAGTAATTTTGTGATTAATCTATAACCATAAAATGAAATTTATTGTTGCTGTGTTACTTACAAGATATATGAAAATCAAGACAAATCCTCAGATAATATTTGATACTAAATAAAATAAGTACGATTTCTCCAAGGAAGGTTATTAAGAACTTGTTGATTCCTAATCTTTTATAATAAATGTCAAATAATATAGACATCTATTATCTTCTTAATAATCATGCTATTAGAATTACCTTGTGGCAAAAAAATTGCAATTTTTGAGGATACAAAACAAGATTCTATATTAATTTATCCTGATTGATGCACTATTTTATAAAGAGAGTTATTTCTGAAAAAATGTACGTTGGGCTCAAGCTTTGAAGTTCCATGAATGTATGTTTTAGAGTTGTAAAACAATACTGTTTGAATTGTGGTATTTCTGAATATTTTTAAGGATAGTTTTGATAATGTTATTAGTTTTATGATAGAAATGCATTAAAAGAATATAGCATGCATGCACAGAATTTCTTAATTTTACTTTTAAAAACAAAATAGCCTTAAGTCACTCACACACATTCGAGCTCAATATGAGGGTAACTATAGATCAACTTTAACAGGGTTAAGGGATAACCCTGTTAACTAATAACTACTGTTATTATGGGTTCTTAAGATCTGCTTTCAGTGTGTGTGTGTGTGTACATACACACACAAGCACACATTTAATGAAAAAATCATTAAATAGTTTTCAAATATCTAATTTTAATAAATGTTAATAAGGTTTGTTTTGCAAATTATATGCTTAGTGTTTGAGAAACATGTAAGTTTTCAGATTTGAAAAATTCATTTTCTGCAGTTTTTTTTAATCACAAACCATTGTAGAAATAATACAGCTTCAAATTAAGGATGATGATACAGTAGTTGCTTTTCTATCATATAAAACATATTTTTTCAGTAGATTTAGTAATAAATGCTTGTCAAATATTACATTTATCTTAAAATATAGCTACCTAGACATTATCTATTTATAGTTAATTTATAATTTAGATTCATAGATTAATAGGCACCTGAGAAAGGTTAAGTTGAATACGCTTATAAATTTAAACAGTAAATGAATAAACAAATACATATAAAACCCCATTAATAACATTTAAAAAATTGAATTTACCTACATTATTAAAATAACTGTTCATATTCCTTCTTTTTGGGTAAGTCTATGATAATAAGACATACTATAAAGATATTTTTATATAATTTATAATTTAATGTCTATATTTAGCTTTATTTGATATCTTGTTTCTTATTGAATTAACTTACTTTGTATACCAATATAGATATAAAGAAATCAGTATTCAAATGTTTTATTACTTTAGTAAAATTCACCAATATTCACCAATATGAGCCAAATAGAAAATTATTCTCAATAGAATATTTAAAATTAATTTAATTCCCAAAGGTATAGCATAATCACCTGATAACCTCATACATGATTTTATCATCTACAGGTTGTCTATCTAGCTTTTGAGCCATGCTCCTAAATTTTACTGCCAGTAACTCACACTAATGTATTGGGGGTTTTTTCCTCAAGGAAGCTGTTTTAGGAAAAAAATTATCTAGTGTACAGTTGCATTTTAATTCTGGTATATAAAAAACAGTTGTTAAGGTCTCAATTCATTCAGATGATCTTCCTCCCATTGCATTTTTAGAGAACAGTTCAGAAAAATGCAAAATATGTTTGCCTGGCCAATAAAAACTGCCTAGTAGATAAGCGTCGTCGGAACAGATGTCAGTACTGCCGATTTCAGAAGTGTCTCAGTGTTGGCATGGTAAAAGAAGGTAAAGCATTCACCAATATTAGCTCACATATTATTAGTACCAAATAGGTTGCTTTTAAAAGGCATGGCTTTCTTATTTTAATGGTGAATTTTAATGGTGAATGCCCTATTTCTATGTGATTTATACATGTGTTGAAAAGCATATTATGTTGTAACATCTTCATTCCAAATGATAAATAGATTCTTCAAAGATCTAAGCAGTCAGGCATAACTTTTAAAGGAAGCATTTCCAAGATTTCACACAATGCTTGTTTTAAATCTTTAAACATAGGAAGGAAATTATTACATTTTATTTGTAAAATAACAACTTGTAGTGTTCTGAACTGCATTTAATTAAAATTTTAGTAGATTTATTAGTGGTGACAGATATGTATGTATAAAATGAGATACTAATTATTATTAATTATTAAAATACTCTTTTTGAATTTTTCTGTAGTTTCAATGTATTATTAGGAAAGTATTATTAAAGTGTATTTTATTGTATGTTTTTTAAATTATATTTTATCATACATATCCTGCAATAACTCAGAATGCATATCTGTTGATGTTTTAATGCATCAACTTAATTTTTGATTACTTAGCATTATAGTTAATTAAAATCATTAATGCAAACTATGCCTGAAGAAAACCTATAACTATCTTGCTCCTACATTCATGTAGCCATAAGATGCATGTATTAAATTTCACTCTACATAAGGTCAAATATAATATTTTAATTGCAAATGTCTTAGGGTCTTTCTAATTTATGGGCGTATTATGAAAAACTCATACTTACACTTAAGATGAATGACATTGTTAAATTGATGGTATGGATTTTTTCCCCAATAACATCCATTTATATAAATGAAGTGAAACCTGTTAATAATAATATACATCTATAAAAGATAAACACTTTCGTTGTTTGATTTTATTATTTGAAGGTGTTATTCTATTAGGTCCTTGTAGAAATTTGCCGTGGTCCCTTTCAGGCTTGATTGTGGTTTTGTTTTTATTCCTTGACTAGTTGTCCGTACTGATAGTTTAAAAGGAAGAAGAGGACGGCTACCTTCAAAACCAAAGAGTCCTTTGCAGCAAGAACCTCTACAGCCCACCCCGCCATCTCCTCCAGTCAGCATGGTGGATGCTCTTGCACAAGCCCTATCTGATTCTGCACCCCAGGAACTTGATTACTCCAGAGTAGGTTTCATGTTTTTCTGAATGAAAATATTTAACTAGTACTCTGGGTTTTAAGTTATACGTTTATGTGCTGAATTATAATAACAATAATTTCTTTGCAAAAACAATAGTGATTTTAATATTTAAATTACATTGAAAGCCTGCTGAGAGTAATGAGGTAATTGTCCCAGGTTCCAGATATAAAAAGTATTCCAAATATGATCAAATATTTGAAAGTCAGGTGGATCAATATTTTTATTCAGGACAATAAAACAGTCAGTAAAACATAATTCCTAGAACTATCTCAATATTTTCAAAATATTCCTATTTACAGAAATTCATTAACTTCAGGAGACAAAAGGAGAGAAAAAAATCAATAACTTTCTATCTTTGAGCTTCCAGTAATTAGTGAAGTAAAAACTAAAAAGATATTGTACTTACTTATTTGATACAGAGGCTTAAATTAAAAATTAAACAAAATCAAGCTACTAGATTTGGAGAGAAGATTTGGTCTTCTCATAAGAGCTGTAACTGAATCTACTTAGTTTGCATACAAGCGGATGTCACTGGTAGGTAGATGACACCTCCTCTTAAATCAGAGAATGAGTTTTGCCACAGGTTTCCTCTGAATGTAATATTTCAGGGGCTTGAGCACTACCCCTCATAACCATTGACTGGAAATACCTGCTGATATAGAAGTGTAACCACCATAAAACAGTGTCCCAAACTCTCAACTCTTGAAAGTTATTTAGAAGGGTTCTATTGAGCAATGTTCCTGAACTGAGACAACTTATAGAATCATGTACCCACTAGTGCATTCTGATGCAACCAAGTGACTAGAACAGGAAAAAAAATGTTCTGTGTGTATCATCACACCATTGCCTAAAATATCCTCTCTGAAGAGAGATCATGGAAGACCCATGATGAATGCCATGGATTGCTAAATTGTCAAGGTGAGGACTGGCCTTAGTTATTAATATTTTTATTAATTCTTTATTGAATAAGGGTTATGTCCAGGGGTGGGATTCAAATTTTTAACAACTGGTTCTGTGGGTGTGGCTTAAGTGGTGGGCGTGGCTTGGTGGTCATGTGACTGGGTGGACATGGCTTGGTGGTCATGTTAGTGGCTGGGTGTGGCCAACTCAATATCACTCACATCGAGGCACGCATCTCCTCGTCTGGCCTCTCATGACTGTGGGGATGCTGCAACAGTCGTAAGTGTGAAAAATGGTCATAAGTCACTTTTTTCAGTGCCATTGTAACTTTGAATGGTCACTCCACGCAAGCAAAGTACCAGCAAAGGAGGGGAAAAAAACTCCAGAGACGTTCCTGAGACAGGAAGTCTAGTCCTGCCAAGAATGTAATAAGGGTTAACCGAAAGGCAGTTTCTGTAAGCAACACTAGAATGTTTCCTTCCTGCCTTCATTACAGGATTAGGCCAGTAATTTCTTCTAACAACCGGTTCTCCGAACTGCTTAGAGTGTTAACAACTGGTTCTAGTGAATAGGTGCGAACTGGTAGAATCCCACCCCTGGTTATGTCTCTTTCTGCTTAAAGGAGACTATGCATTCACAAGATTTAAAAAAAACAAAAACCTTCCTGTTTATCTGGAAGTCCTGGAAAAATGTGTTAGTCAACCACACGAAATGCTTAAAAAGGGAGAGGCCTCATATCTCCAGATACAATTGGAATTTGCTAATCCATATTCATTTCTGTTGGGCTTTCAGAAAAGACTGGGACTACTTTAATCATCTTAGTGAGTGATATATACTAGGAAATGGATTGGGTCTTTCTAGTAGTTCATTAAACTCTCAATAACTTTTAAATGATCAGACATAGTATCCTTTGGTTCACTTTGCTGGGCTGGGGCTTGTTCAAGATTATGACTACTAATAAGATGGTGTTGGTAATCCTATGTATACAATGTCTAATGTGGCTATATAATATTAATTTTTAAACAGGACCGATTGCAAGTGCACAATAGTACAGTGGAAAGCTATGTCTGACATAAATTGCATAGACTTGTAAAAAAATGGAGGTGGCTGGTGGTAATATTACCCAAGTAAGCAGTAAAAGTTTCTTTTGTCTGAAAAACTGAAATGGCATATTTTATGCAATACAATATTGCTGTTGAAAAAAGCATCTTGGTGTCCATATTTTCTTTCTGTTTCAGTGTCTTGTATCACTTTGTGATTATAATAGCAAGCTTTGTACTTTCCCATTTCAGCTTCTTGTTATTAGTTGCTGCATTTGAGATTCATGAAGACATATAGGCCATCTGAAATAAATGTATTTTGTCATAAGAAAGAAAAGAAAGAAAGAAATTGGATACAAGGTTATTGACACAGCCATATAAAAATAACTACACAGATGCATAAAAACCCCTCTAAATTATTTTGCAAGACAGATTGATATCTACAAATGAACTTTAAATAGAAATTTAAACTGGAGAGCCCCTCATCAGTATTTTATCCAGAAAAACATGTTATCCACAAGAATAGATTCATTCCAGGAAGAAATAGTGGTTGCCTGGTTGAGTTACCAAAAGAAGAGTTAGCCAGTTTTTAACGATGATACAAGAATTACTAAGGTCTTCCTCTGTATCTTTGTGTTAAGTAAACTCATAAGCTCCAGGTATAGACTAAAATATATTTGACTGCTTATAATAATTTCTTATCATTCAGTGCTGATCTATCTTTATCTAGAGAAAAAAAAGTTTTTTTTTTTCATTTCTATTTTTAATTGCTTTTCTTCTAGTACTGTTCTACAGAACAAACTTCTGCAGGTACAGATGCAGAGCATGTACAACAATTCTACGATCTTCTCACTGCCTCCATTGAAATATCTAGAGACTGGGCAGAAAAAATCCCAGGATTTACTGATCTCCTTAAAGAAGATCAAACTTTACTCATAGAGTCAGCTTTTTTGGAACTTCTTATATTACGACTATCCATAAGGTACATCTGAGATTCAATAGTGAAAAACTGAATAGTTTGAATGCTTGAATAGAACATTAAAACAAAATATTTGTTTTATGGATTGATAACTTGCAAACCAGCTTATTTATATAAATAAGCTGCTGTTTTCCCTCTTGTTAGGATATTTAAGCAAGTAGGAGTTAATGAAGCAGAATTCTGGAACACTAATCAAACATCTTATTGGGCTAACTTACACACAAAGTAGATTATATAGTAAAACTAATAATCAAATTTCCATTAATCTTTCATTGAAATGAGAACATTTGTTGAAATTTTAATTGCCTTGTATAAATAATGCTGAGACCTGGCTATAGGTAGTATGATTCTGTTAGTTATCTTAAACTTTTTGGAAGCTTTAAAAACAACTTTAAATAGTAATAAAATTTAAATAGTAGGACTAGCGATATTAGAACTCTGGATAAAGTTCTATAAGCTTGCAATTCCTCAGAACAACAAAATGGAGTGCTTCTCTATCCTCTACCCGGTGTTTCTGGATTTCCAAATACTATCCTGGAGCCTTTGAATGATTATGTTTAGTAGGGCAGTTGCAACAGTTCCTAAAGTGGTTGGACATGCAATACTTCCTGATGCCATAGTTACACCCCAATTTGATCAATGAAATGATGCTATCCTAAAGGAATATTTCAGTGGTTAAATGAATATCAAATGCAGCACTAAAGCTGCTAAATCATAAAAGACCTGCACTGGTTCTTTATCATTTTCTGGGTACAATTTAAGATACTGGTTTTAATATTTAAAATAGCTTGGCAATCTAAGAAGCTATAATATCTATCTCAATATGAACATATTTGGCTGCTTAGGAGACCTATTTGTGGCTTTTGGAGGTCCATTCACTGGGCATATGAGAAAGAGTTTTCTTTCTCTTTAGACTTTTACAATAGTCAAAGCCATCCTCTTCACCATGTCTTTGGAATTTTAATTTTAATCACTTTTATTAGGTTCTCTTCTTTTCCATTTTTATTATTAGTCACTTTGAGTACCCCTGGGCAGAAAGCAGGAATAATATTATTTAGCTCATTCACTGACTGATGGACTTAATTGACTGGTCTGTAAAAATGCCTAATCATCTGGGAGATTATTGTTATTTAATTAATATTATATTATAACAACATACTAAATATTTTGTGGTAAGGATTTGATTTCATGGAAGAACATTAAAACATGTGACTTACCTATCTGAAATGATATAATCCAGGAATATATTTGTAACTACTTGAGTGGCTGAAATTTCAGATCCATCTAAATTCATCTTCCAATTGACTCCATTTTCTTTTATCTGCCTCTGCCTCTCTTTATCCACCAGCATAGGTAGAAGAACACTCAAATAGCTACAATTATATTCAGTGACTATCCTAATAAATTGGGTGTGAGATCAGCTTGTTTTATATGCCCCAAATATAGCATATTTCAAAATGAGAAACATGTATGGAGTATTTAGATAATATACATTATGCAGCAGGAAATATACTGAAAACTTAGCTGTATTCATAGAGTATGTTTTCTTTTTTCTTTTTCATTGAAGATCTGACATTAGTGAAGACAAGCTTGTTTTCTGCAAAGGACTTGTACTTCATCGACTTCAGTGCCTTCGTGGATTTGGGGAGTGGCTTGATTCAATTAAAGGTTTTTCTTTAAATTTACAAAGCCTCAACCTTGACATCCCAGCCTTAGCATGTTTGTCAGCTCTAAGTATGATTACAGGTTAGTATCTTTTTTAATTCAAAATATCAGTAAATTTGTTTTCTGGATATTTATATTCCACTGTGCGTGAGCAAATTTTCATCTTAATAAATTCCAAAAAGAATGTATGCCTGCAATGCAATTCAATAGATTTTAATACAAAATTACATTAGAACACATTATATCTTTTCAATAATCAGGCTAAAAAAATCAAAATTACAATATGAATTATACAAATTATATCAAAGATTCAACTGAATTCATGTTGCTAAGTTTTCCAGGATATCACAGCACCATTAATATAATGTAACTGGAGAAATATTCTATTGTGTATCCACAGCTTGAGCTGCTGCTGGTGCAAGGCTTTAGTTATCTTTAGAACCATGTGGTTAATCTTAATGTCTGACAGTCTTTAAGACGGTCCTGGAGACATAGTTCTTTGCTCAGGAATTTAGCCAGGAAGTCAGATATGCTTGACTAATATGACTATATAATATGACTTGTGTGGTGCAGTGTGCTTTTACCTTATTATGTGTTCTTATTTTTTTCATTTTCCATGTATTTAATGTTTTGAATACAGTGGGTTTTTTTGCTATATATTTTATATATAGCAACAGAATTGTGCAATGGGTAGATAAAGCAGTCTCTAATCTGATCAGAATGTTTTTCATGATCTTGCCAAACTGGACAATATTTGGCAGGATTTTTTTTTTCAAATGCTTAGAATCAAGCCACTATGAGCATATGATAGGAATAGCTTAAGTCTTAAGTCTGGATATCCTCAAAGGAAGATATTTCTAGGAATCTGCATTTAAATAAGAGCTGTAAACATTTTGCTCCAGAATACATCTATACTGTAATACAAACTTATTAAACTTATCAAGGATGTTGCACGTTGGAATGCATGTAAAAAAGGGGTAGAGCTTTAATTGCAATATTCCTGATAGAAGTCTGATCATGTCTCCTTGCCCTCTCAAAGGAGATCACTGATATTGTTTAACTTTACCACAAAAGAATCCTGAGATTGCTTTTCATGTGTGAAGGTGTAAAGTGAATTCGCCTCTTTGTGGTGCACCTTGGGTAGCATAACAGTGTTAACTAAATGAACTAGTAACTGCTGGCAGCCAGATTACTCTATAGATTATCCTGACTCTCAGAATACATGGCAACAAAAACAAAAACTGAATCTTTTCAGGCTCAAATGATAAGAGAGATTGGTAATATTGTTTGAATTTGCCAAATCAATGTTGAGAGGTTCAGCAGATCCAAGAGTCAATATTTTTCCAAACTTTTATTGGACAGTAACATAGATATGGCCATCTTCCAAGAAATGCACATAGAGAATGAAGACTAGCAACTCAAAAGAGGCAAGATTCATGACTACAATCTATTGGGAGCCACCTGCCACCATGGTTATGGCGTTGCTACATATGTCAGTAGGAATGTAGAAAATGCCTCCTTATTGTCTACCTCTGCAATTAACAGTATCCACAAAGTAGTTTCTAAACCAGGCAATCTAACAATAGTGAACATCTATGAACCACCTCTGACAGCATGGCCACAGCATCTCTTGAACATCAAGCTGCACCCAACAATCCACCCAGGTGACTTCAATAGCCATCACATTAATACTTCTCCACTGATGACAATGGCGAACAATTGTCCAACTGGACTGCAGCAAACAAAGTCCAACTGATTTTCATTATTAAAGACAAGGGCATGTTTAAATCAGTGGCATGGAACTCCAAAACCAATAAAAACATATGAATCATCACAGAAGGCTCAAACTCACAACCAGTCTCCATAAACGGGAAAATAATGGATATATTCCTGCATAGCCAACACCATCCTATCTTGGTAGAGGTTGGAATCCACATTCCCCTAATTTGCTGTACCCCTAGACCCTGATGGAACTTTCAAAAACCCAACTGGCTGAAAATCATGATAAAACTATATTCCACCAAGTAGTCAGTACTATCAGTAGGGATTCATGAGGTAGAGATTCATGAAGGCAATAATCGCCTCAGTGAAAAAAACATATATATTGAGGATTTAGCAGAGAATACATCCCAGAATGGAATGAAGAGCTTGAAGGACTCTACCAAACCTTCCTACAGAGTGGTGATCCAGAGATTGCTGACAATCTCTTACACAGCTTGGATGTAGCTCAACATAAAAAGTACGTTGAACAATATACAGAATCACTAAATTTCAGCAAATCCAGCAGGAGTTGCAAAACATCTACCCAATAACTTTAACTTCAATACCCAATGGAAAGCCAAATGGGTTGCTGAACACTCAGATATAGGAAGATATATAAATGACCCCACAAAAAGATGCTAGACTTTGAACTATCACTGGAATGGTAAAACTCTGTACAAGATTCACACCCCACATGGCATTGCCAGGACTCTCTGTAAAATTGGGGTACAGTGTCCTCCCCTCAGAGTGATTGAGAGGTCCCACATCAAAATGTAGATCATATTGTGACTGGCTGTAAGCTGAGGCATATCCAGTATCTAATTTTTTAAGAAATAAATGATGCTGTGCTTTAGTGGTTAGATGGCCTAGACATTGGCATTTGAATATATATCCTTTAGACATTTATATTTTATTGTGTTTTACTAATCTAAGTGAAATATTAATATATATTGCTAGTCCATGTATGATATTCAATACGCTAAATACATAAATCTAGTGATTTTCTAAATAAAATGACTGAGAATTCATTTTCTAATATCATAGAATCTTAGAGCTAGAAAGGACCTTGGAGGTCTTCTAATCCAAGCCCCTGCCTAATGCTGGAGACCTTATACCATATTGGACAAATAGTTGTCCATTCTTGAAAGCCTCCAACAATGAAACTGGAGTAGATTACAGAAATTCCTATTGACAATGAAAATAAGACTACAATAAACAAAGAAACACCTCATTTAAAATGTATTTGGGAAATGTAGTTCTGCGAGGTTAGGAATTAAACAGTAAAAAGGCTAAATGTTCAGATGCAATGTACTTCTAAATGCCAGTTACTTGGAAAATTGAGAGTAACTACAAAGGAGAGTTGTGTACACAGCTGTTTTTGCTTTCCATCAGGGAGGTCTTTGTCATAGCAATAATGCTGGATTAGATAGAGACTTGGCTGATAGTGCTCTAAATTAATCTGTCCTTACCTTTTGTTACCCCAAAATATCAAACTTTCTCCTCTTGCTAAGACATCTAATAGAAGCACAATATTGGAAAATAGTGTACACGCTTTAGGATTATCTGACCTAGACAGCATCATATTTTTCAGTACTAATATAATAATTTATTTTAAGATATAAAATAGCTAACTTTGATATTATTTTAATTAATAACCCCTTTGAAAGTAAATACACTGAAAAACTACAAAATAATCCAAATAGCAAAGATTGGTTGAGCTGTCTGTATTTTCTTAAAAGAGTATCTGCAAATTCCTGCTGGAATTCCAGGCCTTGCACTGATGGAGCTAGCAATGGATATTGATCTCCCCTTGAATTCACTGAATAAATAATGGTTGCCATAGATATTGAGCATCTACAACTACTGTGTAGGGAAGCTAGGAAATCTCTAAAACATCTTCTGTGGCAGTTCAGGCTTCAAATCCTGGGGGAAAATATTTTCTGTGAAATGTAAGGGTATTCACCATTTGGAATGCTTTGCTTATATAACTGTTTAAGTCTCTGACTGGAAAATAAAGTACAGTGCTTGAGTGTAGTTGTAAGATTGGGATTAACTGACATTGTACTTACTTTTCACTGGATTGAGACATCACTTCTATTCATGTTCACATACTGGGCTACAGAATAGTTACATTAGTATTTCTTTTTTATAATTAATCACTAACACAATCATTCCCATAATGTGGATATTGAATTCTTTGTCTGCTATTGTTTTGCAGACCGTCATGGATTAAAAGAACCAAAGAAAGTGCATGAGCTATGCAACAAAATCATGGGCAGCTTGAAAGATCACTTGGCCTTCAACTGTCAGAGCAAAAAACAACTCATTGAATCTGCAGAATCTAAAATTCTTGGTGTCCTGGCTGACCTGCGTGCTGTCTGCACGCTAGGACTGCAGCGGATCTTTTACCTGAAATTGGAAGATTTAGTGCCACCTCCTTCCATTATTGACAAACTATTTTTGGACACCTTACCATTCTGAAAGTCAAGTTGTGAAAGGCAACTACTTACCAGAGCAGGCAAAAAATATCTGAATTGACTTATAACAATGCTGCTTTTGTTAAATGAGGAAAGAAGTAATTCCAGCCCTTAATCATATATATGGACTTTTCCCAATATATGTCTTTGCAAACTGAGGTCTAAGATATAATTTACAGTCTTGGAGATGGGAATTATAGAATAGAAAGAGTAAATGCAGGTTTGTTTTTTTAATGGCACTTTTTATTGATGCTACTTCAGCCAGAATGTTACTATTAACTGTATAAAAGCTATTTCCATAGCATCTGTTCTTATGTGGTGGATAGAAAATTGTCATTGCAATGTGTTTGAAAACAAGACTAATAGCAACTGATTTCAATAGCATACATTTTATTAATTTATAGCTTTAGCATACTCATACCAGGCCTCATTCTCTTCACATAAATTATTTTTTTGCTCTCCTTTTCCCTTAATAATGTTCATCCATGATTTCATAAATAAAATATAGTAAAATGACAATGGCTGTTAGCTCTCATATTCAAGTGCAATTTTAAGGTGCTATCTTTGCTGAGTCTTGTTTATGAGCTGTAATTTAGTTTAATCCAAAAGAGAGGTAAAAGAAATAAAATGGAAGAAACTGGCTATATTACATGCACTAATTTCTAAGACAAAATTCTTCAACAGTGTAGTTAGTATATATTGACAGCAAGGCATTAAGCAAAGATCATATGCTTATTCCTTGGCTGATTAAGTCAGTAGCAGTGAAGAACATCTGAAGTAGGCAGGATTAGCATGGACATAGTAAAGGCTAGAACTGAACTTAGTGAATTAGTAATAGATTCAAGACAATTTGGAGGAAAAAAATTGTAGAAATAGACTGAATGTAAATGCTATGAAGGCATTTTAAACATTCCGTGTATGTACTTTCGTTTTTTTGTATGTTTACTGTTAATGCCATATTAATATGAAATAATTTGTTGCACAGTGTCTTCATTTGTATAAATATTTGTATGCATGACATATTGTAAAAATTTGCCTCTATTTATTGCAATGACTGCCAGCTCTCGGGAACCTGTTACAAGGAAAATGAAATAGTATACTCACAACAACTCAGTTATATAATGGGTTTGAGTAGTCTCATACACATACACATGTATGTGACCTTTCTGTTAACCAATTAAGTATGTAGTATGTCTTGCACAAGTAAACCTGATCTTACCATGTATTTGCAGTGACTTTTAAGGCAGTGAAATTTAGCACTTTGATATTTAAATATTAGTTCACGTTTTACTAACTTTAATATTTAAACATTTTGTTCTTTTAACAAAAAAGGATTTATATGCACTGTATCAAGTCTTTAGTCGTTTTGCTACAGAAAAATACCACTTTTTGAATGTTGCTCGGATAACGCTGTATTTTTGTTAGCTTTAAAAGATCTATAATAATTTTGTCTTTTTTAACTATGCTGTTTATATGGAAATTAAATTATACACTCAAATACCAAAATAACTGCCAAATAGCTGCAGCTAAGATAAACTAGATATCAAGCTATTGTCTAGTTCTCAAAAAAATGCCTGATATTTTCTCATTAAATTTGTTTCAAAGTATTCCTTTGAGGAAATGTTATTCTTATCCAGATAATAATGTCAGTAACAAAAACAGCTTCTAATCATTATACTTAGCTATAATTTTTTATTTACCTGCAGTTAATAATATTTCTTTTTTGTATTGACATATGATTTATGTGAAAACATTGTAGCAGAATTAAATACCAGAGGACCTTGATTTTTCTTGCAGGTTGATCATACTTGCTAACCCTCAAGGCGTGATTTATCTTTTATTTATTATTTGAATTTTTGTACATATTATGTATATGACCTCACTAAATTTCAAAAGGCATGCGCATTTTTTGTCAACTCTGCAGAAGGTGTAATCATTATCCTTCTAGAATTAATAGGCATTTTGACATACAATACGTTCAAGTTTCATTCTTATTCTTGTAGAATGCCATCATTTACTGCAGGTTGACGATTCATAGTTTATCACAAAGTTAGGTTTCCAAACAAAAGTATCTTTTTGTTCCAAAGTATTTTCTCAAGATGCTCTTTATGCAAAAGAAGTTTTTTTAAAATCCTGTTTTGTAGTTGCATAATTTTAGAATACCTTGTTGGATTTCATGTAATCATTCAGTTTCAGTCTTTCATAGATTTTTAAAATGTCATTATGGGAATCATCCCTTTTAATGATTGAATCTTCTATTTTTTAATTAATAAAAATGTTTGTGCTTTTATTGTTACTGATAAAACGTGGAAAGAAAAGGCGCTGATTAATTATTGTTTAAAGTCCACAGCTTGAAAGTGCTTTGTCTCTTGGTCTAAAATTAAGCATTTTACAGCTTTACAATGAGTACTTTGTTTTGATTTCAGATTAAGAACACGATTCAAATGTTCCTCTACTTTTCAAACAGCATTTTATGCATATGTAAAAGAGTGTATGAGCTTGTATTCATATGCAGAATTGAAAGAAGAGCACTTGTACAGTAAATTAAAATGAGAAAAAACAGTGGCGTTTTCCCCAGAGGCATCATATGTGTTGAATATTTTTAATCATATTAACGCTTCATATAAACTGCTAAAAGTATACAACACTAAAAATAACATATTCCCCTTTTAAAAGTAAGGACATATTTGGAATCCTGAAAAATTGGTAGCAGGACCATTAGAAATGAATATTGTAAATGTTTGTTTAGAAAAGTGAAAAGTGGAATCAATAGCCTTTCTCTGGCTATCATGACTACTAAACCTACAGAGAAAAAAAAACCATATTGTAGTCATGTAACAATTAAAAAAAACCATTTTAAATTGATATTATTACCCTAGCTCTTCACCTTTCACAATAATTGAAAGTATCCAATATAGAAGCAACGTGTGCCTTTTGTGTGTGTGTGTGTGTGTGTGTGTGTGTGTGTGTGTAAGCATCACTGGTTTCTTTTAAAAAGCTAAATTATAATGTGGTTGGTTGTTTTATTTTAGCCCTTAATCCAAATAGGCTGAAGGAATAATTTATGGCTTATTTTTGCGTGGTGGTGGGGATGGTGTCCTGATAAGCTACATAACTGCAGAGTATGAGCAGTTTCAACACAAAAACAAACAAAAATTGCACCAAACAAATTATGCTATTTTGGTTGTCTGAGGATGGGTATGATACGTTTCTAACTTATTTTAAATTTTATTTGTTTCAAAATAAATCACAAGTACATTTGATTTGTGAATACAGACAATCTGCTGACTGCTATGAGATTTACAAGCCTGAAACACAATGTGATTGTGCAGTTTTATTCAATAAACAAACAATATTCTGTGAATTAATAAAAGTAACAGTGTAAGCAGGAAAACTGACCATTTAAAGATTAAACTAATATTTTAGATAATCAAGAAGCAATTTGAGGTGTTTTTTTTTAAGTTCTTAGTGTTTGTCAGGGTAATGATGATTTAATAGCTGACCAGCTGCTGTAAGGTTGTAATGCTGTAATATTGTAATGTAATGATGATGCAATGGTAGCAATGAGTCAGCAGGGTTATTTGACTGCTACCACTTTAAGAGCTATAATATAAGACAGACCATGTGAGGGTATTTCTGTGGTTTGCTGATTGCTGTTTGTTCAAGGCCTGTATAAAAGTACCTATATGTATATATGCTTTCGTATGGATAAAACCACTATATGTAAATACAAACCTGTGTGCTGAGTTTGCTCCTGGGTTGTCTCACCTAGTCACACTGAGTGCACTCTGGCAGGTCATGGGCCCAATCCAGAGAGAAGCCCAGAGTCACTAGAGAAACCAGAGAGAAGAGAAACCCAGTGACAGCATGTACCGGAGCCAGAGGGGTTCTGTATCGTGGTTTGTTAGTGGTTAGTGCTTGTAACAGAAACAAGCAACATGGCTTCTGTCAGCATAATGGGAGGAGGTTTCATGGTGTCTCAGTTGAATGAGACAAACTCATCTCCTGGGGTGTAAAGATGGAGATGTACCTGAGATAGGAGGAGTTGTGGACAATAGTTACTAATCCACCAGCAGTCCTGGATGATGGGGACCGGAGAAGAAATGAAAAGGCATTAGCCAGCATAATTCTGGCTGTAGAAGATAGTCAGCTGTTACATGTGACGGGTCTCCAGTCTGCAAAAGAGTGCTGAGGGGCTTTGTACAGTGTGTATGTTAGAGAGACTGTAGGCAGTAAAGTGTTGCTGACAAGGAGACTGTATAAAGCACAACTGAAGTCGTGGGAGAGCATGTCCACACATCTGCAGGCTATGAGAAAGACATTCCTGAAATTAGAGGAAAGAGGAATGATGTTTACTGAGGCACACAAGGTATATGTGGTGCTCAGTTCTTTGGACACTTCATGGGATGTTCTTGTGACTAGCTTAGAGTCCATGCAAGAGAGGAACTTAACCATGACATATTTGACTGCCTGACTGTTGGAGAAAGAACAGAAATGGCTAGAGAAACTACCAGGAGAGGGAGGAGATAATGCTCAGGACAAGCCAACATCTGCAATATCTGAAGATGCCAGCAGAGCAGCTGAGACTATTTACACAGTGAAGCGGTGCTACAAGTATGGGTCTACAGAACATCTCCAGAGATGCTGCCCTGAGAGGAGAAACAGAGAAGCAGCAAAACAAGGATGTAGGGCTACATGAGGAATGGTTCTTCACCATTGTCATTTTTCCTGGCAGCAGCAGCATTTGAAAACATCAGGAACACTTGGGTGTTGGACAGTGAGGCAAGTCAGCATATTGCTAATAATCGACAAACGTTTTCTGGTTTGAGACCAGATAAGCAGACATTTTTTTAGTGTGGCAATGGTCAATGATCTGCTGTTAAAGGGGCAGGTAAAGTATATGTGCCTGAGATAGGAGAATCATTAGATAATGTCCTATATGTACCTGACCTAGATCATAATCTGTTGAGTGTTTCCAGGTTAGACAGTCAAGGGTATGAAATACTGTTTGTAGGAGGACAGTACTCCATTG